ATCAGCTCTGTGGCAAAGTACTTGCAGTGTAATTCTGCTTTCTGCCAAAGATTGCTTATATATAAGTTTAAGTTTCATCCATGAGGGGGAAATATTGCTTGATAAAATGGCTGATTTATTGATTCGCCACCCTCTCCCCTTTTAAAGAAATAAAAACAATGCCCTGTAATGATATTTCAACTTTGTGGAAACTTGCAAACATACCAATTCTCTGATCTCTTCAACAGGTATCTTCTATAAGGACTTGTATATTTTCTTTGATGAGGATGAAGGGGTAGGTAGGTAGGAGCTGGCCTTTCCTGGCCTTTTTTTTTCATGTTGTTTGTTTCAGTTGGTATCACAGGCAAGAATATATCTGTGAGTTTTTAAATTGTAATTAAAAATATTTATTCTGGGAAAAAAAACACAATGGTAAATGTGAAACATTTCATGATTCCAAAAAAACCCTCAAAGGTTCACAATGTGTTGGCTAGTGCTTAGAGACAATTGGTGGAGTTACCTCATATAATTACACTGAGCCCTCAAAATAAACTGGAACAGTCAAAAAAAAAAATCCTCCTTACAGAGTGTGAGAGAGGCAAGAAGATGTAATTTTCTCTGCAGTGAAAGCCTGCAAGTTTAATAGCAAAATCCAGGCAGCTACACACTACAGAACAGAACTCAAAAATCTGGTTATGAGTAGGGCATTTTATTTTTTCCAGCATTTTGAGGGAAAAAGTTCTCCATCTGGTCATAGAGCCTCATGTACAGCAAAAAAATAGAATTTTTTTAAAATCTGATTTTGATCTTAAAATATGATGAGAGAATTTCTAGTGCAATAATTCTGTAGCATGTAAATGGTGTCTAATTGCTGGGAAAGCTTCCTGTATCTAGCCCTCTTACTGACACACAGGAATGGTGTTCAAGCACATTGATAAGTGGCTCCTGTGAGATTCAGCTGCCTTGTAATTAGTAAGCCACCAGTTCTGGACGAAATCAAAGCTGCTAGCAAATTTTCTCCTTCTTACAGTTTTTTAGTATTTGTATCTTTCATCAAGAAGTGCCATGCTTGAGAAGGTGGGATTAGCAAATTATGTGATGACACTTCTTGAATTTAAAGTGAAGAGAAAGACTTTCATATAGCTTTATTTACACTTTTTCTTTCTTGCAGTTAAGAGGTTCAAAGGCCTCTTTTTTTTTTTTTTTTTTTTTTTTTTTTAATATTCCAAGGAAGTTCAACACAACAGCCTCCTTCTTGCCTCATGATCTTAAAGGGCTATTTACAAACTATCTGGTGACCATTACCTTTTATTCAGAGACTGTGGTAAGTAAAAGGCAGCAGAGTTGTTCCTATGTTCATTACTCAACTGGAAACATGGCTGGTCTCACAGGATTAAGGATGGAGCTTGGACTCTTAACAAACCTAGAGTCAGGTACATGCTATAACTGAAATGGCTGTGGGACTGGTATTGATTTCAGTTAATGTCAGGCACGCTTAGAAAGCTGGCAGCTGATAAGCTGAAAAAAAGGTAAACTAAAGGAGGAGGCCGCTATCTGGCTGTGGTAGGTGACCTCAGCTTCTGATGTTCTTCTCAGTTCAGGACTCCCGCCTAAGAGTACCACCCGCCTAAGCTACCAGGTAGGTCAGAAGCACAGAGAGCAATCTAGAGGAAAGACTTACAGATTTTTTTTAAATGTAGTACTTGAAAATATGTTTAAGTTCATCAGCTATTTGAGGATTTTTTTTTTTTTTTTAAATCTCCGTAAGTCATGACTTCCCTCCTTTATCAAATGGCCAGTTGAGTCGTTTCACTCTTGTGATGGGATATGGATGAAGGACATCAGCAACTCTGGGGGAGCAGGATGTACCTCCTGACTCTTCAGCCTAACTTAGGAAAGAGGCTTTTTTTTTTTTTTTTTTAAAAACTTTTGTCCTGCAGAATTCACAATGAAATGGGCTGTAATGAATAGATGACTAATTTCTGAGGCTGGTATTACTTTGTATGCTAAAGTTGTGTGTGCGCTTGACTGTACTGAGCCAGGCCTTAATGCACAACCTGAGCAATAGCTGATGGGAATCTCCATGTGTCTGGCTACGGTAATGAGTGTAAGAGGGTTTGAGGTGTACTGTGAGCTTCTTGACAAAAAAGGATTGGGGGGGGGAAGAAAAATCACTGTGAGCTGTTTGAGACAATCTAGCCTGAAAACAATCCAGGGGTTGACAGCAAATAATGCTGTTATTTCTAGGACTGATTTTACATTTTTATATGATGCATTTTAGGTTAGGAGAGTGGAAGGAATTAAAACTCAACAGCATTTCCTCTTTCTTTCCATTTCTCCTCCCATTTCTCACAGCACACTGGATTTCCAGTAGAGCCTCATTCTGAGTCAGTCTCCGTTCTCCAAAACACATGTAGACACAGAGTCTTTTTAATCTTCCTGGCTAAAATATAGTTAGGATCATATTTTAATTTATTCAAAGCTGTGGTTTAAAACAAATCTAGATGATTTTGGACTCCTATCACTTGTAATTCTACTGAGTTCAGTAGTATTACTCCTAACTTAGGTATAGCTTAAACCAGGGTCAGTCTAGTTTCCTTGGTTCAGGCAGCCTCACTGAGTTGTCATGCAAATTCTGAATCTGGATGCAACTGGAGCTCATTGGAGTGTTTTAGAAGTATCTCCAATTCATTCCTTTTGTTTTCCGTCCTGGTGGCAGCCGTCTTTATTTTCTTTGCTGTTTTCATGCATTGAAAGACTATGCAAAATACATAACTGGATAGAAATTTTTATTCTTTTTCCACCCCCCCACCTCTTCCATTAATGACTGCGATCGGTTTCTGATTTCCATTCAGTTTTCTGAGGTTTTATTGTTGTATCCTGGAAGTGTCTGTATAAGTTTATTTTGCACCATTCAGAATTGTTTGCTTGAAGCACTGTTAACAATTTGGAGAGTGTTTGAGATGAGAAAGGTTGTGAATGACATTGCAACTGTTTTAAATTAAAAAGGAGTATTCGCACATCTTGTGACTCTGTGGTTTTTTGCCTCTTTCTTTTCTGTCCAACCTTAAGAGGAATAGTGAAAATGTTTTGATGCTGCCTCTTTCCTTACTTCCCGTTGTTATGATATTTGGTGTTTTATTAAAAGACCTGCACAGAGAGCAGAGAGTTTTGTGATATTCTTGGTTTCTCGTGACTCATGGCAATTCTATGAATGCAAAAAACCCTCAACCCTGAGTGAATATAAAACTTGGCAAAACTAGAAAATGGGTTTTAAACTGAAATGAATTATTTATTTGCAACACTTAAGCCTGTTGATGTTCTGCGAAAAACATGGGTTGACTATATTGATGTAGATGAGTGTTGTCATTCCTTCCCCGCCCAGCTTCTTGCTGTTCCCCCTCACCGAAAGAGAATAACCCCTCCGTGTCTCAGCTGTGCTACTGGTGTAACGTGAGTAAGTGAGACATTGGTGGCTGTGATGAGGGGAGGTGAGTGCCGTAAAAATATCGAAGAAAGTGCGTGGCTGACAGCACATGTGCAGTAGGTGATTATGTTTTCAGACTTCTTTACCACTCTTCTCCCCAGTGATTTTTTTTTTTTGAGCAGAGCTTTTGTATGTATGTAGCATTTGGCACTAACGCTTTCCTCCTAACCACTCCATTCATTTGCCTTCAGGACAACGTGCAGTGTTCATGTTCGCTACAGAGCAAATAACTGACGGACTTTCCTGCTGCTACTTTTTGATATACTTGAGCAGCATGAACTGAGCAAACCTTAACCTCTCTTGGTAAAATATGCCTGTGTCAAGAGCACATCCTAATGTACTTGCATCCTAAGGTTTAGTGTTTTTAGTTTCTGCTGCCTTTTCTTCTTTAGGAGAAGGCTATTTTAGTTAAAGCCAAAGGCAGCAATTCCTGTTAGCTCTTCTGACAGAGCTTGCTTTCTGTAAGCACAGTGTGACTGTATCTTCTACTTTTTTCGGAACAGATCCACATGCCCACTGAGGGTGTCAGGCCTTGGGTCCATCTCAACTTTGGCTTGTGTTCTCGATAGCCCTTCGTTGTAATTGTCATAGCCCCTTGCTGGTTGTTTCCAGCTCAGCCCACAGTGGTGCATCTGAATCTTCTGTCCCTTTCTTGTCTCATGTCTGCGCTCCCAGTGCCCATAGCAAAGGCACTAAAAACATGTCACACCTACTCTCTCAGCACTTTCATGTCTTTGCATGAAAGCTAAATCTGAAGTCACCACTAGCTAACTCCCACTAAGGGTTATGGGAACTTGCTTGAATAATGATGCAAAATACTTTTAAGAATGTTCGGAATAAGGCTCTGAAAATCCGACTTTTTCTTTTGAAGTGCCTGGATTCTCTGTGTTAGCTTTCACTAGACAGGGTGTAGTTACAAAGAAAAGCTCTTTCTCATATTAGAATAAATGAAGCTACGTGTTTTCTTGAAGAAATATTCTTGACATTGTGAAGAAAATTGTGTATCGGAAGTTTTTGCCTTCAAATTCTACAGTATGGGCTTATTTACTTAATTTACATTTATAATTTTACAAATTATAAATGTAAATTAAGGCAAATGCCTTTTCCTTGCAAGTTTGTCAGTCACTGAAAGTTGACTCCATTTTTAATTTTTACAGAAAGATTTGTTGTAATATTATTACTTCTGTTTTATTTTTTTAAAGTGTGCAATTACCTGATTTTCAGGAAAAAATTCTGATAGACTTTTTTCCTTTTTCCTCATATGGAGTGTATGTGCAAAATCCTTTGAGCCAGTCTTCAGCTGGCGTAAATTCCAGCTGTAAGTATCAATGTGCTGTTGGAATAAAAATAAATGATTTAAAAAAAAAAAAAAAAAAGAGAGAGAGAGACACCTCAGAGTAACTTGATGGATTTATTAGAAAATCTGCTGAAAGGAAAAAGCCTCTTCTGGATTTAATTTTTGAGCACAGAAGCACATCTATTTCATAAAGAATAGGAAAGAAGACCTCATATTAAAAAAAAATCTTTTATTTAACTTAGAGATGTAAGTCCCTCCTTTCATTTTAAGTAATTATAGTCAAAACCATCTTAAAATCCAAAAGAAATGTTGAAATATTTGAAGCCACAGACAAAGTTTATTTTTAAAACATATTTAAAAATTGGACAGTTATAAATACAGGTAAATAAATACCATTTAATGTGGAAAAGAACCCACATTGGGATCCCAAAGGAAGGCATGCTGCCATTACAGTACAAAAATACTACAATAGCTGTGGTGCTCTGCAAATAGTAATCTATAAGCTTAATAAATTTAATACATCCAATATGCACATAGTTCATTTCTGAGGAAATAGGTTATTTTAAAGAGCAGTGCAAGGAAACAACATATTAAAGCATTGGTAAACTGCAGATCTGTGTTTAATACTATACACAGCTGATAATGCACTAAATATACAGAGGTGAAATTACCTGTTGTAAGAAACTAATCTTTTACTCCATCTGTACTTACAGACACAGATTCTCAGTCTGGGTCAATATGAACCTTTAAAACGGAATGTAAACATTCGAGTGTAGGGCTGAACTCCCACCTCTGCATCCACTGCCCCGCTTGCTGCCAAGCCTTGCACGTACGCTTAACTTTCCAGAGACTATTCAGCATGTAAAGTTAAGTGAGCAATGCAAGTCTTTGCAGGAACAGGGCTTTTCAGATGGCCCAGGCGAAAGTCTTTGCAAACCCTGTGATCTCCCCTTTCCTGTACGTTGGCTTAAAAATAAAGCCAAAGAAACTGATGCAAGATTGCAAAGGTTTTCAAACAGTTTACAGCATATAGAAGAAGCCACGCAGACTGCCTTTCAAAACTATATATTTTAGTTTACTCTAGATATGTTATACTCTGATATATAAAATATATATAAATGTTTTGATTTTTCTGAATTTACAATAGATTACTGATATTAAAAAGGCTATTTAAGTTAAAGATGTAACCAATGTCAGAGCCATTCTGTAAATGTGGAAAGGGAAAAAAAGATCAAAGCACATAAAGTCTTGACCATGCAAGCTTGCTCAATGGGATGTCACATGTGCAAGCATTTGTAAAGTTACAGCTGATTTTAGGAAACTTTAGATTCATTCTGACTGCTTCTCCCCCATGCCTAGCACCTGTTTTTCTGTGTTGAGGCTTTGAAACTTTCTGTGAATTTTTTCATTTTTTCTAGGCTTATTCAAAGCATCAGTGGTGTCTTCATGCGTGGCAGTCCTTTTTTCTTTTTTTCTGATATATTTCACTGCTCCAGCAATAGAACTATAATGTAGGAATCTGATTTCTAGCCTAGATGAGGTTTAAGTAGTAGATATTACTGTATTGCATACCCACCGGTTGTTTTTCATAACGTGCAGTGCAATTTGTATATCACTTCTATCTGTGAATACTTGGTATTTTATAAACATTTATTGTATACATTCACTGTACAGACTCCTAAGCTGATAGCATGGGTGACTAGAAGTCTCCATTTGTCAGCTGTGCAGGTTATTCATGCTGTGAGTAACTAATGTCTCATTTTTCAGATGCACATTGAGATGAGACAGATCTACAACCCATCTGTGTTCCAGTCCGATTCTCACTGGCTCCACCAGGCAATGATTTAGGCCTCAGTCCCTGCTTCTGTGGTTGCCAGTAATGTTGTAACTTATTACCCTGTAATGCTGGCTTTTGTGTTCTGGAGGCCTGTGCACTACAAACGTTCATGGGATGACCTAGCTGATCTGTTGGTGTTGTCAGGGTCCTCCTTTCCTTCTGGCAGGCAGGCCCAAGTTTTCTAAAGTGATGCATTAGCTCTTAATGCCTGTCTTGATTCTCTGAGCTTTCAGCTGAGTTAAGCATCTGCAAAATGAATGGATGCAGCAGGTGTTCAGATCCTGTGAAGTTGAAGGTCTACATATTTCAAGCAGGGTAGTTGGATACCTTCAGAGCTAGCAGACAGATTTGAAAAGTTTGGTTGTGGTACATGTAGATCGAAACGATAGCTATCTGTTTCAGTGGTTCCCAGTATCCTTCTCTGGCTTGATGATACCTGGTTTAGACTTGTGAAGAAAATGTGAAAAGCCAAAAACCCAGCTTCATTGTGAAAGCTGCATCTATTAATCTTTTTAGTTCTTAAGAGGATACTAAAAACATGTCTGCAAAAACTATTACTCTGGATTTCTGTCATTAACTAAACACCTGAAGAAAGCATGAAATCCACAACACAGGGATGGGATTTAAAAAATGCTCTGTCTTGATCTAACCTGTTCCAAGTAACATGAACAATTCCCGTTTTGTGTTTAGAAGAGGCAAAGTGCTTTTTAAATATCCCGCAGAAGATACCAGTCAGTAGGTTAAGAATACCCTATATGTGGGCCTTATGCATGCATTCTGTAAATGTATATGCAAGTAGTATTACACCATGCTTTGGGTTAGTATTTCAACATAATTATTTGTTAATACAGTCACATGCAATATTGTCGTATGTGAGGTTTTGTGTTATTTAAACCTCCCCCTCAATATTTTTACAAATGCTGTGATTTAGCAGATATTAAGAAAACACCATTAGATACAGATATGTGTACGTGTTTCCCTAAAAATCAAACTGATATTTTAAACTGACGTAAACCAGTCTCTTGTGACAAGAAGTTTAGAGTTATTGCAGTATGAGGAGATCAGCAAGAAATTGCTTTCATTAAGTCTTATTCCATAAATAATCACTTTGATTTCAGTGGCTGTTCGGCATGAGCAATGCTATTAGAGTTCAGCCCTGGTCCAGTAACTGAACGCATGCACAAGATCTGATCGTGCAAAGTGCTGAGCACTCCTGTGAAGTTTGCAGGATTTGAGTGTCCAGCAGCTTGATGGATAAGACTTACAGGTCATAAATATTCATAAAGCTTTGCAAAGAAAAGGGTTAGGAAAGCATTTTTAACTGCATTAAATATATAAAATAGAGGAAAGATTCAACAACCAGGAATGAATTACCTGGAAGTGGTAAGTCAGAGAAAGAAAGGAGTAACAAGAAGAGGAAGCAAGATGGGGAGATGATAAACCGTTGCGGCTCTTTCATTTGGCATCACACACATGCTGTACAGTCCTATTCCTGAAATGTCTTAGGTTCTCTTTTCTGCTGAAATTGCTAGTCTCTGTGTAAAACTGCTTCCTTATTTACACCTGAGCAGTCTCAGTTTTTGTGTTTTACCTTTGAATTTACAGAAGCGGTGACCTCACCCACACAAATGGTATGTGAAATAACAGAATTACTCTGCTCTCATATAGGGCCTTTGCATGCAACAGCTGTTATTGCCCCTTCCTTCCTTCCTTCCTTCCTTCCTTCCTTCCTTGTGCACCTGGGCAAGTCAGGGATGGAAGGAGATTGTGACTTGGCCGAGCTCAAAGGGAACATTGAGAATAGGACCCAGATTTCCTGTCTCTCACTCTCAGGCTCAATCTGCTACAGTTCAGCAGCTGCCTTATTTATCCTACCTCATGCCTGGTTAGAAGTAAATGCTTTTCCTCTTCAGGGTGTTAATACGCTACAGCCCTACAGCCTCCTTGCATGTTTCCCCTGGCTGTTACAGGCAAACACCCATGCTTGCCTCTGAATATGTAGGAAATAGCATGAGGGGGTAGACCAAAGCAACATCTAATCCTGCCTTCTGTACTGACAGCCCTTGGCAGTAGGGGCTTAAGGAAGAAGATAAAAGCCAAGATACTGAAGCATATGCAGCACTGTTCCCAGAAGTACGAAGGGCTATTAAGCATAAGCTAGCCTGTCCTATTGGTGTGGAGAGCTCAGTCACCAGCTGCCCTCCCACTGAAACCAGGCCTGAAGTGGTGTCTAGTAGAGCAGGAGAAGGTGTGCTACTCTTCCCCTTAAGTCTAAGTCTGCTCTAGTCTTTCCCTTGCACAACGTCTTGGTCAGTGGTACACAGTTAACTGGCTATAGACTTAACAGGAGAGAGAGAGATGGGATATCTCCCAGAGTCTGCACAAGCTCTTTTGACAGGCATCTCATAGCCTGGCCCCTGTATGGCAGACCTGCTGTGCTTGTGATGAATTTGGGAGCCTAAGTATACCCTTGGGAGGCAGAGTTTAGCCCCGGTGATTTTTCTCTAGGTTTATGCAGGCAATCCTTCTGGTACCAGTAATGTTGGTGTGCACGTGTTAGCAGATGCATGCAGTTTTGAGCAGTGCATCCCAGGATAAATCGAGAGATATCTACTTTATCTGTTGTTTTTGGAGGGCTAGGAGTTGCATTAGATTTTAATGCAGGGTCCGAGTGATATCTAACCAAGTTGCCATGTTATTCGTACGCATTCTGGAGAAAAAGAGGTTTAGTGAGCTGTTATCAACATTACGAATGTCCCTGGTCATTCACTGCTTGACTTTTCAGAGTCAGAAGTTTGCTGATTTGAGAGGCACAAAAATAAAGCTCTTGAACATCTAATTCCTCTGGATAAGCACTAATTATCCTACACCGCAGTGCGGAGGATGTTCTAGAAGAACATTTGTGATGGCAGGGCATCAAGCAAAATCTAAGCACATATGTCTTTGAGCTACAGGCTCTTCTCAAAGCTGCCTCCTTTCTCTCTTACCACTTTTCCAGATTCAATTGCACTGCACCTTCTGCTCTGCCTTATCAATAAAGGACTGTCATCACACATCGCTGTCAAAGCAGAAGAGCAAACTGTTGTCAGCAGATATGCATACAGCAAGCCCACTTTAGCTAAAATGACATTCCCAGTCTCAGTCCTTGATATCCAATCCTTAGAGAAAAACTATAGGAATCCATTACATGCTTGATAGATACATAGGAATATATATTGACAATGAATTAATAAAGCACTATTCAAAAATTCCTAGAGCTGGTTCAACACCTCTATTCTGTGGAAGAGTGTGATGGGTAAGCCTTTTATTTTAATGAGAATTGATTATTTTTATTTAACAAATTACCCCTGGTGATTAGATGCAGTGATTAAACTATCTTACATGGAAGTTTCCTTTAAGTGGCTGCTCAAAATAACGTTCAGCTGCAAGAAACTTTAGGTTTGTACTGGTGAAACTGCCTAATTCCTCTACAGGTTCTCTGTGATCTGTGCATTTGGATTTTTTTTGATACAGCTGATTGGGCTGACTTTTTTTTCTTTATACTGGCTATAGGAAATGTGCTGTTTGTCTTTCTTTAACACGTTCCAGTACATACCCTGTATGTTATGTTCCTGACTTTGTACCAAAACAGTAGCTGTTCAATTTAATTTTTTTATCTTTCATTACGTAGGAATAATATCACCCACTTATTAAAATTATCAGCAACTGAAAATTTCTATTCCTGTCTTTGACACATTCACCTTGAACTAAACATATTTGCACTGCACCCAAATCGATTCATTCATCATGCAGCAGTGCATTCTCCACCCGCACTCTCCCACCCAAATACTGTTTCCCAGTCATCTAGTCCAGCAAAACTAAGAATTTTTTTTTGGAAGCTACAAATATTGATGTTGTCTAAGGATTTGGTCTGCTGTCATGAGAGGTCACTGAGAATTTTGCTACGGATTGTCATAACAGCAGGATCAAATCATAGCGCCAATCCTACAATCCATACATAGACCAAACTTTTCTTTTCAGGGAAAATTTTCCCTTGAGGATGGTCTGCAGGCATGAACTCCTATGAAGTTTTTCTTTAGTTGTAACAGAAATCTGCAGGCTTGTTATCTTTTCAAATGACATAATGCACATACAGCATGTACGTGTGCAATACCTGGTAGATGCATAATAAAATAGCCTTTCCAATAGATATTACAATTTATACTGTATTGGCTTTTTCTAAAACATTTTGAAAACCCTCTGATCACATTTCAGGAAATGATATTTCGTCCTCTCTGCCAACAAGGCCGTCTTGTATATTTTGTTGTTACTAATCAAAATCAGAATAAAAGCATAGCATTATTTTACAGAAGGAAAGATTAAAGTGCATAAGTACATAGACCGGTGCAGATCCTGCTACAAGTGCCTTTGAAGAAGACATACTCTTTCCAAGATCGGGGATAGCTGGTTTAAACAACAACAATTCTAGTGCAAATTCCTGCTTCTGCTTGCAACATTTGTCCTTCTGGTAGGTAGATGGCCTAATCCCATGAGACCTCCACGTATAATGTTCTTGTTACATCTCACTTAGTTTGCAGCTTCATGAGCCTGCAGAATTTGGCCCAAAGTCAATCCAGGAACCATCAGAAAAAAGCTCTTGTTGACTGCCAACTAATAAATATAGTCAAAACAAAATACACCCATTTTACATGCATCTATTTTCAGAGCTATCTTAAAGATGCACCTTGAGAAGACTTTTCAACAAAGAAACCGAAGGACAAGGAATCCCTGTTCTAGGGAAAAGTGCCGTCAGCATAGTGCAAGGAGCTACTAAGCAGATTCCGTGGTGCGTTGCTCACCGTTCTAATGTGCAATAACAATTATCTAGGTTTGTTCCTAATAAAATTTTCTTTGTATAGCTGTGTGTATACATAGAGAAATAGCTTGCATGGGATGAAGATTCTTCAGAAATGACTGCTTCATCTAGGGCTTTGTCAGATTAGCTGCAATCCATTTCAATCATTTGATTTTGAACCTGTTTACAATATTTTGTGCTTTTGAACTTTTCCTTTTTGAGTCATGTCCAGGAGAATTCCCCCTACTGATCTACAGCCACGATCGTTTGGAAAATGTGGTCATTTTGCAATAAGTCATAGAAGAGTTCTCTAGTTCCTAATGCAACTTAATCACTTTATGGATATTTTTTATTACGGCTCTAGGTTAAAAGCTCTTAACAGAATGTCCAGATCACCCACATTGGCAGCTTGAAATAGTTCTGGTTGGTCCATCATAGACAGAGCAATTCGGAGCGCTGCCCAAATATTGCCTGACAGAGCAGGATGGGGAACCTGCTGTTGGTTCCTGCTCTTTCTTTGCAAACTGAGAGCAGTGAGAAAATTGCTGACAGCCTCTCTGCAGGGAAAAAGAAAAAAGAAACATGCAAGGTAATATGCTTAAAGACTAGTGTAAAGCTTTCTAAAGTTCCATGCTGAAATCAAATACATTATTTTACAATTAGGTTCACTAGTCTCTTTGCGTTACTCTCGTTTGATTTGCCTTAAACGAGTGGACAACCTGTTATTGCTTAGATTTTGTTTGTTAGAAAAAGGGCTTGTAGCAATGCAGAGCTCGGTCTATTCATACATCTGGGGAAATTGTCCTCACTGCTGTATAGTTCCCCTTCATCTTTACTCTCTCAAGCTGACACTTGGGACCCTTTTTATGGAGGCCTGGAACATCATCCTGTATTCCTGAAGGACGTATTAAAAGTGTCTGTCACAGCATTAGCTACTTGAAGCAATTTAACTGAAGTTTCCCTCCTAAGGATGGGCACTCAAATTTTCTTTTGGAAAAGCTCTTAAGCACAGGACTAACTTTAAGTGTGAGAATAATTCCACTGGTTACAATAAGAGTACTTGCACTTAGAGCTAAAAAGTACTTAAGCAGCTTCCTGAATGAGAGGCTTATCTGTTTTTAATAGAAGTTCTGTAGTTCTGTGAAATAGAACGGGTGGATCTGAGAAAAGTATCGTTGCTTTCTTAGTGGATCTGAGAAAAGCATTATCACTTTGTAAAACATCATTCAAAATTTTTTCAGTAGATGAGATTAAGACAAAATATCAGAATAAGCTTCATAGATAGCTCTAGCTAGAAAATGAGTTTTTACTTGGTAGATATTTATATGATCCCTGACTTCTTTGTTTATACATGTTTGTAACTTACCTGTATGCTCCTAGGTTGATGCAGCTTATTCCTAAATTGTATCTGGACCTAATGAAGCCAGGCTGTATTTCTAAAGCACGAGTATAGGCCTCAACAGCTTCTTCGCTTCGATCACCGTTTGCCAAAGTTGCTCCAAGTCGGTTCCATAATGTATAGTCCTGGTAAGAAAAGGAGAGCTTTCTACTGCAGATGTCAAACAGGGACGTAATAGCTCTTCATTTGTGTTTTTTTTCTTTCAAAGTAAGGAAGAGTGCAGAAAATAATAGTATTTTCTCCTAATTGACATGGAGTGTGAAGTTCTGACTCATGTTTATAGACAACATCATGTAACTAGCACAATTAATCAGCACACAGCTAGAACTTGGACACGCATGAATCTGTTATAAATGGGACTGTCTTGTAGTTAACATTTCTATTTCAGGTATTGCAGTTGTAATGGCTGAAGTGACATTTCATTAATATTGACCTGTTCAAGAGGGAGAAAGAAAACAGCCTGTAAAACTAAACACTAAAAAACACAAAAGCATAAAATTACCTCTGGCCGAACAGTTAAAGCAGCACTAAATGCATCTATTGCTCTGTTAAATTCTCCATTCAGGTGGAAAAGAACTCCAAGTCCTGTCTGCAAGTCAGGGTCTATCATATCACCATTCTGGTGAGCTGCCTCCAGGTACAAATCCTTTACTTCTTCAAGTAATGAGCTAGACAAGGGTGAAAAATAACATCAGACTTCATCTTACCATTCTTTGCAAATGTTGCAATATTGATTCCATAGCCAGAAATTAAAATCCTTGCACTGGATGAATCGGAAGCGATACACTCTTAAAATATGAAAATAAGCTTCTTCACCTTCAGTGTGGCACAGATTTACTCTCAGCTGCTGTTGTAAACTCAGTTGCGGAATATCAGAGTTTAGCTATATGGTAAAGTCAAAGCGCAGCTATGAATCCAGGCGAGATAACATAAAGGTTTATTAAAGCTATTAAAATTGGATGGGTTCCTCAGATGTAAAAGGGTTTGAGACTGGCTAAAATAGTAGTCATTCTCCACAGGCACTCATCAAGTGACTAGCCAAGACCCCTGAGGAAAGATGACAAAATTTAAGGCTTCTGTTCCCACTACAGGCTTCATAAAATCTTCCCACTGACACCAGTTTTTGATGAAGCCAAAGCAGAATAACACACTTAGCGATTAAGCAAAACTTCCATATTTCATTTTTGTTTATTCTAAATTATCTTGTCAACCCAAGGCTCGTTAATGATACAGGTAAAATATAAGGCCTATCTTCAGAATGACACGCCATGAGATAATCCTAGCATTTAGGGTCTATGAATGATGTTTATTTTAAAGACTTTATTATGCATCTCACAATTCTGAGATTTTTACTTATCAGGCTCATGAATACATGATGAAAGGCTGCCAACTCATGAATTTTTTTGTTATTTAAAATGGTTTCCAGCTCCTATTACAGTACGCTAGGCTGAAGTCAGAGAAATAATTACTCTGCCTTTTTGTTTAGAACTAAAATGGCTTTTAAACAAGCAGATGCTACTTCCCAATATCATCAGTGAGACTGAGGTCATGCCCCACTGCAACACAGCTGTTGTTCCTGGATTCTAGTGGCTAGGTTGGGATACAGGAAATATGATGAACTGTAGGAAGAACAAACACATATAGCGCAGGATGCAGGCATAGTACAGATTTGGAAGTGGAAGAAGAATGAGGATGTAGGAATGCAGAGGCCGTGGACAGGCTAAATGGGATCAGAGGAAGTAGAGGGGAAGCATCTCTTTTTTAGCTGTAATTCTTTTTATCTTCCAGGGATGGCATAACATATAGCCAACAGTCCCTAAACCGAGAGTCCTATGTTGGCTTACCACTCCTGCTGCTACAGACTGAGTTTCCGCCAAAGGGAACAGGTTGGATTTCTATGGGGTAAGGGCACAGCACACACGATCACTTCTAGTGATGTCATTAAAGTTTCCACCATCAGGATTTATGTTGCATTTACCTTTCATCTGATGTCTTAGACATTCTCCTGGTAAGTGCTGGGGACCCTTTTTTGCTTTTCACTATATACTTGTATTTTGGATTTTGCTTTATCCAGTTTCTTAGAGCTTGATAGGCCTCTTGTTGATGACCGGTGTTAGTATAACTTACAGCGAGTGCCATCAGAGCTTTTAAGTTGTTTGGCTGTAGCTCTAAGCACCTAGGCAGAAAATAAAAAGATTTTGAGGGATTTTTTTAGCCAAACACAGCTCTTCCAAAATAGCGTAAAAAATCATTCACACAGATAAGATCTACCCAGTCATGCTTTCAAAGAAGGGACTTTGTCTTATTTTCAGGTGGTAAGTGCATTACGCACTCACATGCGCATGCACACACACACTTGTGCATAAGCACACATAAACCTATGCGCACAGGTTTTATTCTCATCCTTTTGGTTATGAATGAATGTGGGTAGATTCATTTTTATAGTATCAAAGAGCAGCTTTTTGTAAGCTCAAGTTGAACAGTTTAATTCAAGACTTTCAGCTATACAAAAAAGTATTTTGAAGACAAAATCTCTTCCATTCCTATTGATCTTCTCAGTCGTCCTGAATTCTCAGTTATTCTTTGATAAAGCTAGAGCCAGTCAACTCCAGTAGTCTTCCTCCAGCTATATGCCATTAACTGAGAACAGAATCTAGCCTATTTTGTGAATGTCACTGTTGCTTGTTTTAAAATGGTGGGGATGAACAAGCCCTAAATTAGACAATCCCTTGGATTTCTATCCAGGTAAGCTAATAAATTACATATAAAGGAGCTGCAGTAATTGAAGGATCCTTAGGTGAAATGACTTGATGGTTAAATTGCTAATGCAATTAAATTTGGAGAGGGTACTTTGTTCAAGAGGAAACATGAACACCCACTGCAGTAAGGTAATAATAATACTGATATTTTGGAATTGATGTTTTATGTACAAGCATACCATAATCTTTACAACCTTATCAACCTAAAAATGTTCTCAGTTTAGTATTCAGCAGCTGAAAGGAGTTCATTCCAATTAAGAAACCTCTTCATTAAAGGACAGACTACAGAAAATATGTCAAGTGGCTAGAATATTGAAAAGGCAGTTTATCTGCATTATGCCTGATTCATGTTTGTCAGGCCATGTAACTTTTCTTTTGTGCATCTAATTAAATTTTTAGATTAAATATTGCAATTTTTCCATAAAATGGAAACAATGATCACCGGCCATGCCTCTCAAGCCACAGTGAAAATTTCTATACCTGTGTCAATGCTCTCCTCATTTAAGTAAACGCTTGAAGTTACAAGGCAAGTATGAGGTTAAATACACATAGGCTTCCGTTACCTAATTACTGATCAGACCCCATATTTAGCAATTATCTTCGTCTACCTTTGGAGGGCGACAATGGCTGCCTGCTCATTTTCATTCTCTGCCTGTGTTATGCCCAGGAACTGCCAGGCCTGCAAAAATAATCACCACTGTATTATTTTGTTATATATACCCAAGTGCAAGCAGAGTTAGAGACTAATATCGCCGTTAAACAGTGGGGTAAATAAAGTAGCAGATCTGTTTGGCACTAGCTAAATATAGATTTTTCTACTGCAAGCATACCAACAGTACAAATCAATGCAGTTTTGAACATCTTTGGGCCTCACAACTTTTATAAGCAATGGATGCAAAGGCATCCTGTCAGCGTATAAAACGGGCTGGTTTCTCAAATGTGTTACTGTACATTTAAAATGGATTCTGTTGTTGCTAGACTTTTGCAGAAAATGATTAACAATTATTTTATTTTACAGGTCTAAGGGATTCTAGAGGGTCTAAGAATTATCTCTGCTTTTCAAAATGCTGCTGCTTATTTTAGTGTAGCAATAGATTCAAAGAGATCCAGATACACATACTGTAAATATTTTTTTAGGTTTCTCAGAGAACAGACTTTAAATATAAACCCATTGAAAACATCAGTTTTGGAAACTGATACACAACTTTTAAAAGTTTCTCAATGTTCTTGTTAAATCAAAGATTTTCACCTTTTCAGTAAGTGTTTAATAGAAAGTTTGAAAAGATCAGAAAAAGAACAAAACGTTTGAAATATTGTCCATTTTGAAAGCTTTTAAATGAAAACTTGAAAATTCTACAGTTTCTACAATTCTCTGTTTCAAAAACAGAGTCTCATCATATTAAGAGCTCTCCTCCTTAATTTATTTCAAGGCATATGCTATTCCAAAACCACCACTGCTGTTCAATCTGTTTCATTTACTCATGACTACCACAGGTTTAGGCCATGAAACTATTTCATCACTGCTTGCTAACGGGAGTCCCTTTTTCCTTTGCAAATAAAAGGCACAAGAGTGAATACCTCTGCGTCATTGGGTTCTTGTAGAATGGCAGCCTCCAGGTATAAGATTGTAACTGGCAGGTCACCTTCTTTCATTTTTTTCAGTCCTTCCTCAAAAGCACCAGGCCAGTCTTTGAAAGGATTTTCAGTATGAAAATAATAACCCTGGAGAAGAGAGTTAATGGATCCATGATGACGTGCTGTAGCAAGGAGTGACACCTCTGTAAAATTAAATGACTCATTTTCCACCTGGATGTAAAGATCCTTTGTTGTGTGAAGAACTACCCTATGAAATTTAAATTTAAAATGTTTTAAAAATAATTCATGTCATGCAGTGTCACTGGACATTTACCTTACTGGTCTCTTTCCTTTAGCTCTGAATTTGCACTTACTGACACTCATGTATCAGGCTCTCCTGCTCCCATCAAAGCTAAAGGCAACAACTCACGCTGACTGCATGTGCCCAATAACATTGAATTTGATGGTGAAAAGCATGTATCAAGGGGTTGCCCTATGGTGCTTGTAACCTGGTGTCTGTTCAGCCAATATCCTGAAACCTTCCTTAACTTCCAAGATATAGAAAAGTTCTGCAAGCCCCTGAGTTTATGTTAGGACTCCTTTAAATTTTATTTAAGTTGCTGTGAAGTATTGATCCATTTTGTGTTGGATAAAGAGGCCCAGTCAGATATGTCTGAAAAGGACGTGCTTTCAGACAAGGCGTTTTTGAGGAACAGAAATCAATGCAAACATTAGCCTAATAATGACTGGGTCATAGGTCAAAATATCTACTAGGACAGCAAAGCTTCCTTTCTGCCACTGCAAAGTGAAGGCTGTAGGTTAATATCAGCTGCATAAGGCAAGTCAATTAAAACATACAATAGAGGGAATGGAGGAGAGAGACAGGGTCTCTGTCATTTCCATCCTTGGCAGTGTTTGAACGTTCCAGACCAGGCTTTTTAGTATTTGGTGCTCTTACTTAAGTGCTTGTCTTCAAAAGTGCCCAAGTATCCAGCGGTTTGCTTTGTGATCCTTATGGCCAAATTCAGTCAGACAGAGTGCAATTCTAAATGTGTTCTCACTGTGGTAAAGCCTTTTAAATCTACCCTTCTCGTAGGCACTTTAAAGAGGCTGAGCTCTTTTGGGTGAAAGTTAGCTTCCATGTCTGGGAAGAATTTTCTGGGTTCCCTTGAATAGCTGAGCCGGTCATCTAAAGATGAGATGTGCTGTATTAAAAAACTGTTACCTTCTCAATGGTTGAGATGGTGACTTGCCCTGGTGTTTCCTGGTTCTCTGAAATCCAGTTTCTGCGAGCCATTTCTTCCCATTCTGCTTGCATCTTATCCCAAAATTCTGTATCTGACTAGAAGAAAAAGAGACAAAAAAAAGAAAATCAACAATGAAACTTTAAAAATCTAGTAAGCTTTTAACGTATTTCTACTGGGTGGTTTGATTATAGCGAAGCAGTATTCATTCTATGAATAATCATACTGTCTGAAGTACTACAGCACAAATTTGGAATTCTGTATAACTAAATTTTGTCTTTTATGTTGGTGTGTGTTTCTTTAACATAAAGCCCTTTATCTCGGAGACAGTGTATGTTTGATGTGAAGCAGGATTTGCAGCAGCTTACACTGCATCTCATTGACTCTAACGTTAAATGGTAACATAAAATTTGAAGGAAATCAATGCAGCAAGTTCCCTTCACAAAAAAAAAAAAATCAACCAAGCATACACGCTAAGGAATTAACAACAGATAGAACAGTTTAAGAGAGAACAAGTGTCCCACTTTGGTAGACTGAGCATCATTTCAACTATGTAAAAGAAAAATGACAGAGCTTAGTCAGAGGGTGTTTACACAAGAGAATTAGTGCAAACAAGGGCTTTTGACAGAATGGAGAAATCCTAACATTGTATCGTATACTATATAATGGTGAAAGGAAGCTGTAGGAGCTCATAAAATAGCACAGTGATGATAACATTGAGCTCAAAGACGAAAGGGAAAAATACATATAGGAAAGACACAGAAATAATGACATAAGAATGAGATTTACAATATTTATCAAACAGAATGAGGGAACCACTGTGTTTGCTAGAAAAAGTTGCCAAGAAACAGAAACAGCCAGCAAAAAAAAGACAGGGGAATCCAAGTAAAGGTGCTGTTTTTTCAGCCTCCATGTATTAGGCATAAGCACAGAAAAGTAGTTCTACAGAAGCATATACACTCAGCACTGCAAGCCTTTGCAAAGGTCCCGCAAGGGGATGGCCAGGACTTCGGTGAACTGACGCCACTGAAGGCACAGGTTTTTGGCTTACTTATATCAAACACACTTAATAGCACAAATAATTCCATTGAGGTTTAGACAGAATTATTTGAGAGTGAGATACTAATCAAAATGACTTAAAGCTATTAGAAACTGGTCCAGATAGATAGTTTTGTCTGAATCTTCACTACAAGACTGATGACTCTGTACTATTGCTGCACAGCCCGGCATAATTTCAAGAACAGAGCTTATCTGTGATTGCATGATTTGCCACAAGCCTCCTTCTTAGGCACTCAAGGAAAGGAAAGCACAGACTATTGACAGATCCAGAACGAGTCAGCAATGAGAGCATTTGAGATTTCATGTAAAGGGTTAGGAGGACTTCCGCTCACAAACAATAGGTGCGATTGTTATAAATCACAAGGCTATTTAAAAATGCCAATGTGCATCCCCTCTCCAGGAATCTAACAAGCCTTTCTCTTGTGCTCTTACTGTATCGTTTGCTTGCTGATATCCAGCACTTCCTTCTAGGACACTCAACTTGTCTGTATTGTGCAGTTATTGGATATATGAAGGTACCTGCTATGTTCCTCCGCGAATCAGGAAATGACCGTGAATCATTCACTCTGGGAGAGGAGATTATACTTTTCTTTTCATAATAATGTGAGTAGAAGTGAACAGAAGATAACAACTCTGTTGCACAACAGCTTCTGAGGTTTCAAAATGTTTTCATTCCATATTTGAAGGAAGTACAACCTTTTAAATAGTTCTGAGGTTGTAGTGAAACATCCATTTAGGGATTGAAAAGGCCAGGATTATGATTCAGATTGCTCCCTTTTACTCTTATCAGCCATGACCAGAGGCATTTGAATCGCTCAAACCATCCTGTCCAACAAATGTTTCCATGAATTATTTTACAGTCAGTGCAAGTCTGCACTGTGTTGAAAAATGTTTATTTGACTGTGTTTTTACTAGGAGAAATTCTGAGATTCAGAATGAGGTAAAGGAGTATAAATTTCCCTTTCCCACAGATAAAAATTAATATAACTACTGAGAATTAATTAAAAATGCCTTTTTAAATGAAGTAAGTCATCAAACTAATGGATAAGTATATCCATTCTTTGATGTTTGCATTAGAATTTTTGCTTTTTTTTCTGCAAAAGTCACACTTCTATGACCCACTGTCTGGGAAACATTAAATCACTTGCCTTCTAATTTTGCACGTAATAAGTAAACATATAATAAGCTTTTTTAGGTCTTAAAATGAATGGGTCAAATTCTGCTGTTTAATTACATGTTTGTAACTCATACAGAAGCTCACTGTGTGCAAACTCTACTTAAAAGGTGAATGAATTACTATGAATTTGAGCAGCCATACTTAATGTCTTATCTGTAGGGAGTCAAAAGCGTAGGAAAAATGCAATGGGGAGATGACTAGCTTTGCTGTAAGAAACATACTCATCAAGCGCTACTTGGAAAGGGCCAGGACCCAACTGTTGTTCTCTAACTATGACTGGAGATTTACCTGTCTGGGCCAAATGGGCCTGAGTCCCATATGTGAGTGCCAGGGAGCGAACTGAGCCTTGCATAGACCTTGTGGGTAGTTCATTTGGTTTTGCTTTTCATCTTCTGGTAAATCCTCAGAAGTGTAAGTGCCACGGAATAGTATGGAGGGCTGAGTTTCCCACAACTGAACCTGAACTGTTGGTGGCCTTGATACCAAAGACCAAAGGCTAGGTGAGTTCAGTGGTCTGACTTCTCCTCTTAGGGTGTTGTGGAAGACCGAGCCCTTGACTCTTAAATATAAAATGCGCTATAGCTTATTCATCTTACTAGTAATCAGAAACTAGTGAAATGATGTCCCTCTTATCCACCTTACTAAATTCATGGTGATTAATAGAATGTTTTTACCTTAGACAAACGCACAGTGCAGAATATTTAATTATTACGTAATACCAGCTGAAGCATTGAGATATCGCTCTGCCATAACCCTGAGTTAAGTAACTCTTGTTTTCTCCTTCTTCCTGTTGTTGTGTTTCAAGAGAATTTTGGAATTTTTGTTAGTTCAAACTTAAGCTTATCTACATCCATACAGCATGCAGTCAGAACGGAGGCATTTGGAAGAAAGGAATAGAGAAACATATCATAGTAGGCACTTTTCTCTTGAAAATCTCTCAGAGTTTCGTCAGAGTGCCTTACTGGAGAAATAAATGTAGTTGCAATCCTGACACAAGTAGGATTGCATCCATACCTCTGTTTTCTGAAGGTGTGACATGGACGATCCTGTGTACTAAATCACAAGATCACGTGTACAGGATCTAGAAGATTCTGTGTATGTCCAGTCACCTGGCAGGATGGGACCTGCTGTGAAAGTCTGTAGTTAGGGACTGTACCTTTTCTCAGTGCAAGGACTGAGTGGGAGAGACACTTCCAATGTGTAGAGGAGGACTCTAGGTTCTCTTCCAGTTTAGGACTGCTGCACCAGGTACAGCTTCCTAAACGCATGTGGCCTGTGGGGTCCTGGCACCTGAGATGGTAAGTTCCACACCTTTTGCTGGGCCAGGATACAGGTTTCTGAAACTGGTGAGGCAAAGCTGCATTGAACAGCTGCATCATGCTCAGTTGTGACACCTGATAAAATGCCATAATGTTTTCATGACAATTAGCAATGTTAATAGCAGAGCATTTTCATGTTCATGAAGAAGAGGACCATAAATGTCACACACCCTTCGTTAAAGGGCTGTCTTTTTCAGCTACATTAGCGGCAGCTTTACCACTGACTTAGAGTAGCAGGTGAGTTAAATTAATAGTGAGTGCTTCTGAAAATATGGCTCTGGATCAAGACTCCTATGTGTAATTCTGACTATATGTGACTGGTGCCAATTACTTTGTTTCAGTGTTTCTGCTGACCTAATGGTGGTGAATTACTTTGGACATACCAAAAGGTTTCAGAGCAGTTGAACACATTTAACACATTCTCAGATAATCTGCAGCATTTAAATGGAATGACAACCAGGAAAAACGTTTCTCGCTGTGTGACTCCTTACATGCATAATATTCGGTGTTTTGTCGAAGAGGATATTTTTACTCTTGTAGCATTTAAAAATATGCTGAAACAGTTAAACAAATGGGAGGCAAAATATTGCCAGGCTGTTTACTTCCTAGGATGCAATGGATAGGGGGCACTTCCTGAATATGGATGGGTAATTTCTAAACTTACCTCTTGTTTTCATTATTTTTAGATTAGAAATTTGGCAGTTCTGTATTGCCAGAAATTAATTTGCAATGTTCCTTTTGACCAATGCATAAAAACCAAAGGTTCTGTGTTTTTTTTTCCCTGTGAATTACTGCATCAACATACTCTTTCATGCGAAAGAAACAAAAAACATTATATTTGTGAGCTAGCTACGTACTGTCCTTAGCTGGTATTTTCTCAAAACAAAATGTGAAGTATTCCTCTTTAGTAAAGCTTAGATATAACAAATTTATATGAAGACAAAGACCCCCATTGTGGTTTTAAAGAGAATGCCAAGTCAGATGCATCTAAATGACTCAAACTCTTAGGTCACAATTTAAAATGTCATTTAGGCATTCTTGAAAAGATCCAATGGGGAGCTGGAAATAGTGAGACTGGAATGTCATACTTTTGGAAAGGATTGTAACAGTATTCACGTAAACCACAAAGCTGATGGTTTTGGATTACGTTTCCCTAAAGCTAGCATAATTTAATCCTATCTTCCCCCTACTATTGTCACGTAAGTTAGCTGTAATATGTTCTGATGCTTCGTAACAGTAAGTTATAATGCAGCAGGCTCGTGTGACATTGCGTTACAAATAAAATGGTGCTGAGATGGACAGCTCAAAGTTTCTTTTCTATAAACCTGCAAAGCAATGTGGCGTGTGTAACCTAATGTCTACAGCAGGCAAAAGTGACATAAGAAAATATCAAAATTGCTTTTTTCCCAGACATTTTTCATTTGGAAGTTTTTGCACTATCTTAGTTTTATTTTTATTTATGCTAGCTCATTAGCAATTTGATAGTGGAGGATAAAGCAATCATTCTAACAGAATATAGATACAAATTTTTGTGGATCTGACTCCCCGCCGTGGCAATTTTTAAAAGTTCAAAAATACCAATTGTAGAGGTAAAAACACAGCTAATTATTATTAATATTATTGTAAAACATATTTGTTATGGTACTTGGAAATCATGAAGATTTTAGGCTATTTGTGCTTTCCTCACATACAGAGCAGATGGACAATGCAACAATCAAGTCTAGTTTCTAGCGTGACAGAAAAAATAGCCTAGTCTGCGAGGTCCCAGTCACTGCAAATGAATCTGGACCCTCTCTAGTAATAAAGGTAAATTACTTACCTTTTTATTCTTTAAAGATTCCCCAATGGCATAAATATCTTTAAACCTTCTTAAGAAAAAATTACCTCACAGATCTTCATTAATCTCAAGGTTTGACATCTTAAGACCATTCCCAAAGCTCTAAAGTGAATATTGGGTGGAGGATAGTTTGGCATCTTAATTTACTGAATTGTTAATTACTTCCTTTCAAAATAGGCCACAAAGAACCTGAGATTTGCTCCCTTTTCCTGATCAGTTTTCTGGCTAATCTTACCACTTGGAGCTTCCTCAATTGAAGAATATTACAGAAACATCCAAAGCCTAAAAGAGAATTTTTGAACTGTATCTATTCTCTTCTTAAGAAGGCGCTAATCTTTCTGAGGTGGGCTGCAATTTATTTCAATCACTCTAGCTTTCTTACCACTTCATTTTGGCTAGGATGAAAATTAAATTCTTTTAATATGCAAATGGAAATAACTGCTCTATAAGATCTTGAAGCATCCTTTCCTTTACATTTTAACTACCTGGTACAAGTTTCTATTTTAAGTAGAAAGAATTACTTAGACTGCCAGCTACACAGTTAGGGAAACATTTAATTAGATTTTTTCTTAATAGCTGTTTTCCAGACTACATTAAAGCATTTTAATAATCTGTCTTTGTTGCCTCAGAGTGACCTTTTTAATGTGCAGGCTTGTTTTACAATATAGTCCTCTCCTTACTTTATTCTGTAAAGTAATTCAATAATGTCTTGTAATCTGTTATTAGCCTTAACATATTTTTCTTTCTGCTGAATGTCTGGGAACTTCCCATTATGCATAGTTTCTGCCCATTGCAAGAGTACTGACACCACTTGCTTAACGACTAACCGTAATGCAGATAATGTGCATGATCAAATTCCCTGTGCTGGAATCACAGATTACAGCACAACATGTCCTACCTTAAGGATCAGTCTGCAATGTGATTAGGAATATTTAGAGAATTTTACACAGTGGCAATCTGAAAACAAGACTCTCCTTTCCTGCTAGTAGCAAACGTGTATGATATGCAGCATAAAGCCTATTGTGCATCACCAGCAGTTGTTTATAGAGACTCGGTTTGACCAGGAAAACCGATGCACTCAAAAAATACGAGAGAAATGCATTCAGTGTACAGTTTGTAAAACAGTTCACTTATTACTGATTGTGTTCATTTGAGTCTTGTAAGCCAAGAGAAGAACTGTTTTACATGTATCAGCATCCTATGAAATAATGGTAGAAACCCCACAGTCTTACTTTATCATATCATGAACAAACCGTGCAAATTAAGTTAATTTCCTAAATGAAGAGTTCTGTTTTTAGTTAGAAGCCAGCATATGATCTAGTTTTGTTTTTAATAAACCAATATTAATCTAGAATAAATAATTCAACTGACAACACTGGAATTACAATGGTATAAAACTTGAGTTAGAGCAGGATTAAGATACAACCACTAAAATTTATATCTAAACCCAAGCTTCCCCAAAGTTTCACAGTTGTTTGGAAGCTAGTGAGGCTGCAGGACACACTAAAAATAATTAATAATTACGTTTGAGTAGGCACTTTCACAGCCACATCCTTCCCATTAAAAAACTTACTTCAGTGACTGTTGTGCACTTCAGCCTGGATTTTGTCCTCAGTGGGATGCAGCTATCTGTCTCGGCTGTTTGTGGGAATGGGGTTTTGAAGGTTACTGACTGAACCCCTGAGACGGTATGATGCTCAGGATCAGTGGTTGTATCTAAATCTTTATTGGCTTCTGTTAAAAAAGCTGTAAGCCACCTTGCCTCTAAACACTCAGTATTTCAGTTGGCAGTGGTGGTATAGGACAACACTTCAGAGGCTTTTTTTATGTTAGAAAAGTACAAGTTATGGAATAAACAGAGGTGCAATAGGAGAACTAGCAGAGTAGCTGCACCTTTTTGAACTAAATTCATTTATCTGGAAAAGAGAATACGCCTGTGCTTAACTTTATACCATTATTTATAAAAATGCATTGGTGCATGGTTACTGCTGTAGATGCATTTACTCACTCATTACCAGCAAGTAGTTATTCTCTTCATAAATGATTCTGAATTTTACTTTCAACGTAAATGGAAAGGCTTGGCTCGTGTCTGAGTTCAGATTCTAGTACTGCATATCCTGAGCTGAAATTACTGACTGAGCACGTTCAGTCACTAGGAGGAAATTTTATTTCACTCGTATACCGAGTATGAGAGTACTTAAATTTATGGGGAATTTTTGTTCACCCACTAGAGCAAGAGAAAATCTAGCTTATAGAATTGGTTCTGGCTCATTTCTATTTATAGCTAAGGTTCTATTTTTTGTTAAGAGAGAAATTGCTATTTTAAATGAATAACTGCGTGAAATATATCTTTTCTCTGTTTTGAATAATCTAGTTCCAGCTTTCTCTTCTACTTGTGCTGCAAGATGAATATGAAATCCATTGAACGTTAGCTGAAAATGAAAAAAACCCCAGAGTAATACCTCAACAGCTGCCTTTGCTCTTTCAAATTCCTCTTCCAAAGAGTGATTTCTAGAGAGGAGAGGGCCTCCCCAACGCTGCTCCTTAGTTGATCGTGCCTAAAAAAAAAAAGAATGAATCAGAAAAGGATGAGATACTCTATCCCAAGTTTCTGAGTTATTTCTTACCCTTAATTGTCTAGAGCCAAAAGTGGCCCTCATCTTGGGCAAAGCTAGCTGTATCCCTGCATGAATTCCTCTGAATTGTCTCTCACATTGTAGCAGAGATCATTCCTCATGGTCAGCAGAGTAGTTTATCTTCTCTAGAGTTTTCTTTTCCCTCAAAATTTAGATATGTCAAAGACAGCTCAAGAGAAATCCAAGAAAAGACAGTGCAGGAGTTAAGCTAAAAAGGGAACAGCTGGCTATTTTGTTAAAAAACTTACCTTGATTGTTCCTACTACTGTGTTTTGACTGTGGCAATGCGTTCCATTCACTATGCTCCAAGAAGAAAGCATCTCATTTCCCTGTTCATTTTGTGTTTCTCTTTCAGATTCTAGTTTGAGATCACATTGAAGAGCCAGGTGTGTTATGAATTTCACTGGAGAGCCAAATCATTCTTTTCTACAGTCAGTACCTCTCTTTTCTGTGCCTTTCTTTCAGTCATTCCCATTGGAAGTACATAACCAGTTTCTCCCTACGCTTTTATTTATTTATGCTTTTTGCACAAAAGGCACAGTACAAAACCAAACAGCGTTCAATGAAGGCAAGAAAAAGCAATGAAGGCACAAAGTGGCCTAGTCTTGCGACAGCCTACAGCTCTGACTGCTAATCTCTTCCCTTGTGTTTGTCAGAGGTTAAACTCATTAGCCGTTTGCCTGCCCATGGTCTCAATTGCATTAATTTACGTGATTATATTTCTGATGACTGTACTTGTAATATTCAATTACAATGAACCATATTCCTACAAGGAATACTTTTGCTCACTTCAAATTCATAGGGCTGTATCTGCGAGTGCTGGAATGTGCCCTGTTGCGCATTCCTCGGCGGTCGAATAAAAAATGTATGATGCACGGTCAGAACATGCATGTCTCTGTGTGCATATGCTTTTTTAAATTAGAAAGATGACATTCCTTTGTCAGCCTAGCCCTACAGTGTCTGTTCTGTTCCTGAGTCTTTGGGTTCTCAGGTAGAGATTAATGAATGAAACGTATATTGGGTTGAGCCAACATATGGCCAGCATAGAACAACACAGCACAAATTCTGTGGGAAGTGTTTGGTAAAGGGGGGCACCCCTGTGCATTGTTTTGTGTTCTGTGCTGGCTTCCGGACTTACAAAGTGGCATGAAACATAAGGTTCAAGGGAAAGTCCACACCAAGGAGTCAGGATATATTGTTTCTGCTTTCACATCTACCACCAGTGTTCTATGTTGTTTGGCAAATATGTATTTTTTTCTTTTGAAAAGGGCAGGAGGAGATTTCAGGGCGTCATTGAAAATGTACCAAACAACAATCCCGGCACACAAAACGCATGCTTTACTGACTAATAGAATTTAGGACAGAAGAGATGACTGGTCCAAATAGTCAATTTGTCTGTATATCATACGACTGTATTTGTCACTCAGACATCTGTGAGAGGAAAGTGACATTCCACAGAGAGTAAGCTGAGGTCGGCTGGAATATGTGTCATTGAGACAGGTGCCTGAATTTAATTTAAAGTTGTCAAGAGACCTTAATCTTATCACCTAGTTTGGAAATTTGTTTAATTGCCCTCCTTGTTTCCTTTATTACTTTCAACTTCTCTGGCTTCCGTTTCCAGATATCAATTCTTGTTCCTTCTCCAGTAGTTTAAAGCACTTTTTAGTACCTGTTATTTTCTCTATGCAGATATACTCATGACTGAAATCAGCTTTTAGTTGTCTTTGAATGACCTAAAGAGACGGAGATCTTAAATATCTCATTAGGAGGCATTTTATTCAGATTTCAACCTTTTCCTGGCTTTTTTTTACTCACCTTCTTTAATTTTTATAGCCATTTTACTATACAGATGGCAAAAGAGAACACTGTATTCCAGTATCCCTCTTGTCCATACTGTATACAGAAGTCTCCTGTATAAATATACATCATCTACTGATTTTGCATATTTGTATATGCTCTTCTTGTTACAGTCCTGCGCAGGGAGTTCATGTTGACATCCTTGCGTACTATGAGCCATAGATCCTTTGCAGAACTGCCTTCCAGCATACTGTTGTAAGTAGAGCCTGCGTTCTCATTCTGAAATGCACAACTTACCAAGTAACTGTATTAAAATATGTATTTATACAGCTGGTCACCAGGTCATTTTTATGTCTCCCTTGTGTACGTTTTTTTCATCCAACCTTTGTGTCAACGTGCAAATTTATCAGGAATGACTTACGACAGAAGAAACCCCCATATGATTATGATTCCTGGTAAATAACTGCTCTTCTTGATAACTTAACTTAGTCAGTTTTAATCCATTTAACACTGCTTTATTCATACTGTATAATGCTAATTTTTAAATCGGAATATGGTGTGCTAAGTCTAACATCTTGCAGAAGATCACACAGCAACATTTATCAACCAAACTTGTAATCTGATCAAAGAATGAATTTGAGTTTTCTTGACACAAAACTGTGTTGACAGACATTAATTATGTTCCTAGCCTTTTCGTTATTTATGAGTTGACTCTTGTAAAGGTTTGATTACCTCAGCTTTTGAATCTTTTGTTTCCAGTGACTGTAATTCCCTTAGGTCAAAGACAATACTGTAAATCATTGTTTTCAAACTGATTATTACTCTAGAAGGGGAGGGTGACCTTGTGAGGCAGTAGAGGGGAAAGGGGGAACAGAAGAGAGAAGCACTGAAGTCCTTTCCTCTGCTACATGTCAGTGCACACACATTCTCCCCCCATAATCCCCAGACAAATACACCTTCTCCTCCCTTAAATGTACAGTTGCCCTCAGCCAGAGGGGAAAAAGATGTTATTTACAAAACCCCCATAAGCTGCCTTCACATATAGACAATACAGAGTCATATTTTGAATCGTGATATCCAGAAATGAAAGACATAAAAGACATAAAAGAGACATGCTGCCTTTCTCTGGTGCAGGAAGAGAGGGGATGGGAATGGAGTGCCAGCACTGAAGAACTTCTTATCTCCAGCCAGTGATGGAGTAGGACTCTGCAGCCACATCTGCCAAGGGGAGCCCAAGGTGGGATATGGGTCAGGGTGGAATGGGCATGTCTGAGGCATGGAGAGTCTGCATACACTGCGGTTCGATATGCTCACCACTCTACAGCGGAGGTGCTGTAGCTGATCACTGGCTGCTGTCTTCAGGGACAAAATCTTCCATTCCAATGCATTTGCGGACACTTTCCTGCACTTGTTGTCTGCTTATGTGCTGTTGGACCTTAACTGTTGGTGAGAGGCTTAAATTGTAGTCTTAACTTTTGAGCAGGTTTTCAGATAAAGAGCTAAATCTCTCCTCTTTTGGTTAGAGTAATTGGCACATCCAAGACGAGCTGGGCCCATTAGTCTTATCATAGCTATTTGGGAAAAGTGGAGAATTAATTATGCAGTCTAAATATTGCTGTGCGAAACTACAGATTTTCAAGGTTTACAAGCTTTGGGCTATATCCTGGCCTAAGAGTGCCGAGACATCAGAATTAGGTACCGTTTTTCAGTAAGGCAGGGTGTCTATATATGTACTGTGAGGGAACAATAAAATATCTAGAATGACCTGAGTGAGAGGCCCAAGTTTGAAATTGTATTTAGCGCGTGCAAACATGAGCAGACTTTATGCATGCACAATTGAACATATTAAAAATATTATCTACTACTGCAGTTTGTAAATATCAAAGAGAAAATAAATTTTCAAAAAATGCCAGACACTGCAGGATATCTCCATGCCAGTAAAACCGTAAAAAGGAACTTGCCAGGGTGGCCAATAACAGGAACAAAAAAAGAAGGATGCTTGGGCCAATACATTTCAAGAGTTAATATTGGGTAGCATATGATGTGAGCAGAATATTGAGAAAGATGAAGGCCTTCCAATCACATCCAGTGACAGCCACCTTGCTACTGCCCATTCTAGCCTTCAAATACATTTTTTCCATATTAATTCAAAGCCGGCCTTGGTAATTTTGTATTGGTATAAGTGCAAGTTATCACAAGATTTTGTTAAGAAGATTGCATAACTTTAATGCAAATATGAAAATTTGAACCAGTTACTCAATATGTCACTTGAGGAACTAAAGCTAATGTGTCAGAGATGAATGATGAAGTTGATTGTCTCAGAAATTGCTGATGGCACACTGCAGCAACTTTTACAAGATGAAAGCTTTAGGGTATGGTGGGATCTGTTGCATATGTGAAGATCACCCTTAAATGTGATAGACAAGATCTATAGAGGACAAAATATGGAAAACGTATGCTTTGATAAAAGCTCAAATGTGATTTCTTTTACAAGCAGACTATTAAGAACTCTGTCAAGACAGATGAGCCCGGTTTTTGGGAACTGACAACTTTGACAGTTCAAGCATAGGCTGGTTGAAAATACTAAATTTCTTGGTAAACAATCAAGAATAAGAAGATGGTCTCAGAAGGTAGTCTTCAGTCGTTTGCACCACTAATTACCAGTTCAACAGTGTTTCATGACTTGAGTGGATCACAAGATTCGAAAAAGTGCTGCTAATGAGAAATGCTAAAACAAAACAACACATAAAATATATCTGGCCAATATGTATACTATATACATATATACATACATACACACACACACACACATATATATACACACACATATATACATATATACATACACACACACATATACACACACACACATATATATACACACACACACACAAATACACACACTATATATATATATTTTAGTCTCTACTTCTGTTTCAAGTTGGTTGATTCAACTTAACCTTTTTTTATTTTGATATACCAGCCATTTTACAAAACAATATGGAATCTCAACTGACTGAACCTATACTGAATTAGAAATAGGGATTTTTGTTTCTGCAGTTATTCTGCTGGAAGTTAAATAGGTAAGAGACCCTATAAAGCAGAGACATTACACAGATTTGCAATTGCTTTTACAGAAGGCCACAGCAATTAAATTCTGTGACTGTCTGCTTGATTTACACACATCTAGGTTGAACATAAACTTCCTGACATTTAGATTTATTAGGCTGAGGAATATCCTCCTAAAAAGGGTCTACGGGTAGCTAAAAATAAGCTGGTCAAAGCGTGTGAAAACATGCTGTCCATGGAAATGGACTGTACTATGAAATAGTTCTTTCCATTACTAAGATGTATAAATCTACTGTACAGAAAGGGAAGATTTCATGCATTAGAACTACTGTTAGGATTTCCAAAGTGGGAAAATCCCGTTTGTAATATAGAGACAACAGGGAAGGAAAGGAAAGGTTCCTAACCAAAACACAGGAATGGATCCTGAAGACTGGGTTCTATTTTCTATTTCTGCAAACCCTGCCACATCATCTCAGGAAAGACACTCTGAATATTAATGTCTCATTCTTCCATTTTCAAAATGGGGCTATTAATTTCCATTAATTTCCTGATTTTTCATCTGACAGAAAGGTTTTGAAGGCCTAAAAATAGCGGTGGAAGAGGAGAAATTTATTTTCAACTAAAAGTGAATCCACCAAACAACTCTCTCTCCCTGCTGCCCAGTGGCATTGACTGAACTTGAAATTGTTCAGTTAAGAAATAAAAAGCAGGATATGCCAGAAAAGAGGATGCATAAGCAACCTGAACTCTTTGAATACATATATAAATGTATGTTTGTACACACGCATATATACATATATATGTATATATTTATATGTATATAACACCATAAATCTTCAAGTAATCACTTCTAGAAAGTCGTGTCCAATATACCATAAGATACTGGAATTAGGAAAATCTGCAAACCTTCAGCCCATACCCCAAAACAGCAGGAAAAATTCATGTGCTCACACTGCCACCACACCTATGGAGATGAACCGCTAATGAGCACTGGCCTAAGGATTCCTTCCTGTATTCCTTAGCGTTTTCCCAATTCTGAAAATTCCTAGTTGACCAAGGGACCTTGAGAAAAACGTATCTTGCAAGGAGAGGGAACCGTTAGAGGTTAGAATTTCAGAACTGGCGGAAGGCAAAGAAGACACTGCTGCAAAGTCTAGTTTGAAGTCTTTCTCTCTGTACAGGAGGGTCGCAGTTCACTGCAGTATTAAATATGTTATGAATGTTGAGATGTTGACACAGTTATTTCAGTTTCCTAAAATCTTAATTTGGAAGCTGTGCGAAGATTCAGCTGTATGAGTCTTTTAACTGATGATCCTGAAAATATCCCTTAAATATTATTCCAGAATGTGAACAGTTAGCCAGTGGAACAATTCCCACTTGCTTTTTTGTGTTACTGAATCTGGTAAATTGCCTTACCTGTGTTGCAGGTGCTAGTTCTAAATCTGATGTTGAATCAGCATCCAAGGCACTCTTGGCATTAGTCAGTTCAGACTGTGATCTGTTTTCTGTGGACCTATAAATAATGCATTACACATTCATCACTGCACGCTAAAAACAATGCCTTATGTCTGTCCGTTTCATGCACACATTGACTAATTGGGCTATTTCTTTTAACTGAATTCTTTAACTTGCAGCTATCAATCGTGCCTGCACCCTTCTCAGTATTCCCACTGCTATGCTTTTCAGTCCCATGCGGACTCTAGTCAACACATCAGAGCAGAGTGGGCCTGATTTACCAGTAGAGCCTGGATGTCTATTGGTATGAAACTAGTATAATGGAATGGAGACTTTGCCTGTGCAGCTATACTTCAATGTCATAGCCAGGAAAAATGAGCACACAATGGTTAGGCAACGTTACAGAACCATAACAGGAGTCAGCGTCCGAGAATCAACCACCACAATACATGACTTCCCCTCGGCTCATGCACCTTTTGTGGTACACTATCCTAGTGTTCCTTCTTAGAAAATAAAACCCAGTAGAACCATCAGGTTAACTGACCCAAAACTCTTGTGCAAAGCTCCAAGCTAATGAAGCACTGAGATAAAAGGCAGGGTAAGGTACAGGCATCAGTTGGTCAGAAAACTGGTTTAAGTGTATGAAAATGCTAATACTAATTAGGCTTATGCATAATGTAGTGAACGACTGTAGCTTACACACCAAGAAGGCAGCAGAATTAAGCGATGCATGAATTGTTCTGAAAGACAAAGCCCAATTCTTCCCTCATTTAATCCCTCTGCAACTTCAGCTGAACAGTGTGAGAGAGGTAATACTTGGCTTGGATATTTTCTCTTGCATCTTCCAGTAATTCATACAACTTCTGCCCTCTTGGTGTCAAAGAATTTGCACCGGACAGCCAGTGATGGACAAATCACTGCAGAGTACCCTATTTTATGCATTTTATTCACATTTTTGTAGTTGTTTTTAGATCATTGTATCTGTCTGCAGAATTCTCACCAACATTTATTTAGTAATTGCACATGCTACTTTTCAGAACTTTAAAAATTGCTGGCAAAATGTCATTTTATGGTGCACTTACTTATAACATAGTCTAAAATGTCTGCCTGAACACGGTTAATGTAATCATAACAGATTTAATAACATTATGACTTGTCATAAAGCTAGCATTTCTGTGAATTAAGGGAGCTAGACTAGAAATATTTTTGTAAGGAAAGCAAAATGTTGTACCATAAAAGCTCTTTCGATGGAGCTCTGGATGATGATGTTCGTTCTGTAGATGGGTGGCTCTTGCTGCTCCTGTCTCCATGAAAATTCACCTCGTCCCATTTCTCTAGTTGTGTCTGAATATCAACTGAAAAACAGGAAAAGAAAACATAAATCTGTTAAAGAACCTACTGCAGAAAAACTTCTCTCTTCTGTGAAATGCAAGTTGTAGAGGAATTGTGAAGCTAAGTCATGAAAGAATATATTTTAATTATGGTCCAAGCCACAAGAACGTTTTACAGCTTTCTAGCAGCAATCCTATTTTGAAATCCTAATATTTGAGAATTAGCATCATTTTTCTAAATCTAGATTTCAATGGCCATAAATTTTAGCATTCATAGTCAGAACGTGACTGGAACTCTTGACTTAAAGCCAGTGATATATATATAGTTTATATCTGTTGATAAAATTATAATAGTTTTGTGATAATATTTGATATTTTTAATTTTCTAACTAAAAAATTAGGTCAATTTGTAAAAATGTAGCTTCTTCTGTGACTACCATGTAAAAATGACTGTGTGGGTAATTGATACTATTCAGTCATATATCTGCCTTGCTTTGCAAAAATCAGCTGTTCTGCTCCTGTCTGAAAATAAAGTTCTCTAAAAGAATTTCTGTGCTGATGAATGGAATTTTTGCTACCTTGATACAGATTATATTTACTTTGCAAGTTTCTCACTTCCAATGCAGGTAATTCAATTTGCATGTAACTGAATTAAATTCACCTTTTCCAAAGCTCATCTGTGGATTGTGCTTGGCAGGATATTGAGCTGTGCTTGCGTGTTTTGGTTTTTTTCTCCAATCTGTATGAACACAGCTCTTCTGTCAAGAATGGAACTTTTTTCTCTGGTATGTCTAGATAAAGCACTATTTTACAAGTACAATGTGTAGTTTTGACATCTGCAGTTCTGAAAAGGACACCCAATGTGAGCTGCCTGTGATTTGAGTCCTATTCTAGCTTCTCTTGATACCCTTACAGATTTTTCTACCATTTTATTGACCTTGCTTAAATTCTTTTTTGAAAGGATCCATTCAGGTGGGATGCAAATTTTTTTTTGCATGTTTACTGAACACTTAATAGGTATAATGACAAAGGCATAGAAATGATGAAAGAAGATACGTCTTCAGGAGAGAAATGTATTAAATTGGTAGTAAATTGTATCAAAAACAGTAAATAGATATTCTTCCCAAGTATCCTTTACATTACCCCCAAGAGTAGAATTTTCAACTTGCTGGCAAAATGTGCTTACAATGACAGTGGTTTACAATGTGGAATAAAGTTTACACTCCCTGCTAAAGTGTGATGAAATGAAAATTCTGGTCTTGCTTATTATTTTGTGATAGTAACAAGGAGGAATTTGTGCTAAGCAAGGCTGTGTAGCACTGATAAAATAACTACACTCTTACCTAAATCTAGTGAAGACTTGTCTGAAACTCTAACAGTCTGGACTTTCTGCTCAGTATCCACATTGATAAGGTCAGAATTGTCTGTCTTCTTTCTGTGGGTTGAAGCTTTTAAGCCTTCACCTCTTGATGCATTCTCTGATTTCTTTGCTTTGTTTTGGGTTTGTAAGACAGGTTCACTAAGATCCAAGAGATCCAAAGCTGTTGATAACACTTAGAGACAAAATGTTAGAATTCAGTGTTGTTTTAATTCAAATAGCTCACATTTGTTAATCTATATTTTAATTGGAAAAGAAATTATTAAGTTAATGTATTTGCATTTGATTATAGTAAGTGTTTATTTCCTGACTAAAGATGGTAACTGGCATATTCAAATATGACTAGTGATTTTAGGTGCTTAACTCGATTCACTTCAAAAAAGCTTGATTTACATAAAAGGCTTTCCCTCTGAAAATCAGGCTCTCTTAAGACATCTTAGGTACCACAAATAACTAGTCACTTTTGAAAATCTTATTCTACAGCTTTTCTTATGATGCGAGTTTTCTGGTAAAACTGAGCCTGCAGATCAAATTTGATTTAGTCTTAATGGCTTATCAGCTAGTGGTAACAGCTGCCTAGGACACTACTGTTGTGCCACATGCCACTAAGGAAAATAATCGAGGAAGGGACAGCTGTCTCTAACATTTCACCTTCAGAAATGTTTTTCAGAGATGCTAAAATATGCTTATTTTCATTAAACAACCACTTTAAATATCTTTAAAAAAAAAATCTTCCTGAAAAAAACAACACCCTGAACCAATCTTTCTTGTCCTCCTTATGCAACTTATCTCAGTTTCCTAGAACTATTTGTTTATGGTAAAAATGATATGATTTTTGTATTCTCAGTGTTTCTGGACAAAACTTTAAAACTACAGAGTGGAACTGGGTGCTTAGCTCTCATTGGATCCTTGACAGGTTGGCCTCTTTTATGCTGCTCTAGAAATCATAGTCTAAAATGTGTTTTCTATCATTAATGTAAGAGAACTGTATATAGAAGCAGACTCCATCACAAATACCGGAACATGTTGCTGGACAAAACAAGTAATTTCTGAGTCATTGAAAATTAATCTTTCTGTAGTTAAGAAAGGAACCGGAGAAAACAAGACCTAGGTAGGGTTTGCCCAAGGGTTGAAAGGTGGCAAAGAACAATAGATGTCACTATTTTCTAAAGGTTGTGTCTGTATGAGAGGCAGAAAATACGTGAAAGGTGAGAAAGAAGCAGTCATGCTAGAAAAGCTGCAAACACAGTCAGATCTAGCACTCTGAAAATGATCCTTAGAAAGAGAGAGCTGTGGGTCTAAAGCCTGACTGGAAAGGGCCTTGAGATTGTGACAGCAAAGATTTTTGTTGTATTGAAGGAAGTATGACACTAAATATTTTTATAATTAACAGGACATACCCAAGAAATAACAAAGGACTATAGCACAAAAGATTATAACATCATTTTCTCCTTCTGGAAACAATCTGGGTTGTCCCAAATTTGGCTAATTTTAGGTCAAAAAGGAATAACAGTAAGCTTAGTAACTGTTTCTATTGTTGTTGCTTGTTGGTTTTTGTCTTTTTGGGGATAACATTGACAGATATGGTAATAAGTTCTGTTGATATCTCTATTATAGGACAATTGTCAGTGTATAAGGCATGCTTCAGCCTGTTTTTTTCATTTGCTCGTTGTTTAAAAAGTAACATTTAAAATGATTTAGCTCGTAAAACATAGCAAAACTTCTTCCCTTTTTTATCAGCCTATAGGGTGGGTGTTTTTGACAGATGATTTTGCATAATCACGTGTGTTCTTGCTAAAGCACTGAATTTCACCAGTCTTCATGGAACAACAAAGTTTAATTTTGTTATTAAACGTGTGATTACCCCCCGACCCAAATTTGATAGATATTCAAGGCAGATTTAGGAGCTACAGATACTGAAATTTTTTTACAACAAATACAAGCCTTAAATGACCTGAAGTATTTATATTCATCCCTGTAGTATCTTTAGCTATATCAAAGGAAAAACAGTATTTACAATTCTTCATTTAATTCAGTGTTCCAATTTTTGTTCTTAAAACCTGCATATTGCTTGAGATGCATATAAATTAGATGTGAAGATAATCATATAACTGATAGTCATTTTAATAATTTGTTCGTGTATAGATTTTAATTAAATGGCTTCTAACAAGTCCAGTTTTAAGCGGCAGAACATAATAGTGCTATTAACTATATTGTTTCTCAGTTGATCAGCTCATCTGCTTTGATTACCTTCGCACAAACACTCGACAGGAGGAAGTCAATTTCTAAAAACACTTCTAAAAGACAATATACCTTTCTTAATTCAGAATGCGTTCAGGACGCTCTCTTCCTTTTTTTAATCTGTTCTACTACCTCACTGAAACACAAAGCAGCTGAGAACTTTGTTAGATCCTTTCGCTATTAAAGCCTCTGAACCCAGCAGTAAATGTACTCTTTTCTGCCTGGAAAGGAATGTAGCCTGGATAAATTCTTCTAATAGCGATTCTCTTTCCTCTGACATCTCATCCAAGTTGTTATTAAAGCAAATCTTTCTATAGTAAGAAATGGGTTCAGTTAAAAACAGACCTAAGTGTAGCTTACCCATGGGTTAAA